CCGTTTTATGTCACTACCATACTGTTTTGCTTACTATAACTTTGCAATATAGCTTGAAATCAGGAAGTGTGATGCTTCCAGTTTTGTTCTACTTTCTCAAGATTTCTTTCACTGGGGTGCCTGGGTGGCTCAGTCGCTTGAGCATCTAACTCGTGATTTCCACTCAGGTCATGATCTCAGAGTCCTGTGGGATCCAGCACTGCTTGGGGTGGGGAGGTCCATGCTCAGTGGGGAGTCTGCTGGAGAATCTTTCTCTCCCTCTGCCCCTCCCCCCTCATGTGCACATGTGTGCACGCGAGTGTGCACGCTCACGCTCTCTCTCTCTAATAAATCAATAAATCTTTAAAAAGAAAAGATTACTTTCACTATTCAGGGTCTTTTGTGGTTCCATACAGATTTTAGAATTTAGTATTGCTTTTTCTATTTCTGCTTTAGAACTTTGTTAGGAACAGCATTAACTCTACATATTGTTTTAGATAGTATGAACATTTTAACAATATTAATTCTTCCAATTTATGAGCTTGGACTATCTTTCCATTTATTTGTGTCATCTTCAATTTCTTTCATCAGTGTTTTAGCTTTCAGTATATAGATCTTTCACTTCCTTGGTTAAATTTTTTCCTAAGTATTTTATTCTTTTTGATGTTATTGTAAACAGGATTATTTTCTTAATTCATCTTTCTGATAGTTCATTGTTAGTATATAGAAACACAACTGATTTTTGTAAGTTGATTTTGTATCCTGAAAAATACAGGAATTACTGAATTCATTTATTAGTTCTAACAAGTTTTTGGCAGAGTCTTTAGGGTTTTCCATATATAATATCATGTCTACTGCAAACAGTTACAGTTTGATTATTCCTCTCCAATTTGGATGCCTTTTACTTCTTTTTCTTGCTTAAACACTCTGGCTAGGACTTCTAGTAATAAGTTGAATATAAGTTGGGAGAGTGGGCATCCTTGTCTTGTTCCTGATCTTAAAGGAAAAGATCTCAGTTTTCCTTTTTTTTTTTTTTTTTAAGATTTACTTATTTATTTGAGAGTGAGAGTGCACTTGTGAGTGGGGGGAGGGGCAGAGGGAGAGAATCTTCAAGCAGACTCCCCACTGAGCGCGGGGCCCTACAGGGGCTTGATCTCAGGAGCCATGAGATCATGAACGGAGATGAAACCAGGAGTCGGACGTTTAACCGACTGAGCCACCCAGGCAACCCATGATTTCAGCTTTTCACTGTGGGGTATGATAGCTGTAGGCTTGTCATGTAGGGATTTATTATGTTGAGGTACATTCCCTCTATATCAGTTTGTTCAGAGTTTTTATCACAAATGGATACTGAATTTTGTCAAATGCTTTTTCTGCATCGATTAAGATGATCACATGATTTTTATCTTTCATTTTGTTAATGCAGTGTATCATACTGATTGATCTGTGGTGGTTGAACCTTCCTTGCATCCTTGGAATAAATCCCACCTGATCCTGGTATAGGATTCTTTTAATGTACTGTTGAATTCAGTTTGTTAATATTTTGTTGAGACTTTTTACATCAATGTTCATCAGGGATACTGGCCTGTAATTTTCTTTTCCTGTAGTGACCTTGTCTGGTTTTGGTATCAGGGTAGACCTTGTAATGAGTTGCAAAGTGTTCCCTCCTATTCAGTTTTTTGGAAGAATTTGAGAAGGACTGATGTTAATTCTTCTTTAAATGTTTAGTGGGATTGACCAGTGAAGCCAGGTCCAGGACTTTTGTTTCTTGGGAAGTTTTTGATTACCGATTCAATCTCACTTGAATCGGTCTGTTTAGATTTTCTATTTCTAGAAATTGCAATTGGTCTGTTTAGATTTTCTATTTCTTCACATTTCAGTCTGGATAGATTGCATGTTTCTAGAAATTTATCCATTTTTTTTCTAGGTTGCCCAATTTGTTGGCATATAATTGTTCACAGTAGTCTCATGATCCTTTGTGTTTCTGTGATATCAGCTGTAACGTCTCCTTTTTTGTTTATAATTTTATTTATTTGAGTTTTTTTTTTTCTCTTGGTTAATCTAGCTAAGTATTTCAGTTCTGTTTCTCTTTTCAAATAACCAACTCTTAGTGTTATTGATCTTTTCAATTTTTTTCCTATTCTCTATTTATTTCTGTTCTAATCTTTATTATTTCCTTCCTTCTGGCTAACTTTGGGCTTAGTTTGCTCATCTTTTTCTAGTCCCTTGAGTTGTAAGATTAGGTTGCTTATTTGAGATCTTTTTTCTCTGAAGGCATCTTGTACCTATAAACTTTCCTCTTAGAGCTGATTTTGCTGCATACCATATGTTTCAGTACGTTGTTTCCATTTTTGTTGTCTAAACATTTTATTTCTCCTTTGATTTCTTCTTTGATCCATTGGTTGTTCACAAGTGTGCTATGTGATTTTCACGTATTTGTGAATTTTCCAATTTCCTTCATTACTGATTTCTACTTTCATACCAATGTGTTTGGAAGAGACACCAGATATGATTTCAATCTTCTTGAATTTGTTAAGACTTGTGTTGTGGCCTATGTGGCATATGATCTATCTTGAAGAATGTCCCATGTGTTCCTGAGAAGAATGTGTGTTCTGCTACCATTAGATAGCTTGTTCTGTATATGTCTGTTAGGTCCATTTGTTCTTTAGGGTTGTTCAAAACCAATGTTTCCTTATTAATTTTCTGTCTGGATGATCTATCCATTGTTTAGAGGAGGATACTAGAGTCTCCTACTATTATTGTACTGCTATTTATTTCTCCTTTCAGTTCTGTTAGTATTTGCTTCATGTTTAGGTACTCTGTACATGTATTGCCAAAGCAAGCACTGTGTTTAGATACTCTGGTGCTGGATGCATAAATATTTATAATTGTTACATCATCTTGATGAATTTACCCCTTTATCACTATATAATGGCCATCCTGTCTATTGTGACCCTTTCAACTTAAAATCTATTTTGTCTGATATAAGGATAGACACCCCCACGCTATTTTGGTGCTCATTTGCATGGAGTATCTTTTTCTATCCCTTCACTTTCAGCCTATATGCGTCCTTAAAGCAAAAGTGAGTCTGGTGTTAGTGTGAGTGTGGTATTAGCAAAAGAATTGACAAATAGGTCAGTGGAACAGAACAGAGAGCCCAGAAATAGACCTGCATAAATATAGTTAACTGATCTTTGACAAAGGAACAAAAGCAATACAATGGAGCAGAGACAGTCTTTTCAACAAATGGGGTAGGAACAACTGTGCAGAAAAATGAATCCAGACACAGACCTTACACCCCTTATAAAAATTAACTCAAAATGGATCATCGAGCTAAATGTAAAACACAAAATGATAAAACTCTTAGAAGATAACACAAAAGAAAATCTAGGTGAGGGGCGCCTGGGTGGCTCAGTCAGTTAAGTGCCTGCCTTCATCTCAGGTCATGATCCCAGGGTTGGCTCCGGGCTCCCTGCTCAGTGGGGAACCTGCTTGTCCTCTCCCTCTACCCCTCCACCCTCCCCCAAAGCCCACTCATGCTCTCTATCTCATGTGCTCTCTCAAATAAATAAATAAAATCTTAAAAAAAAAAAAAAAAGAAAGAAAATCTAGGTGACTCTGAGTATGGCAATAATTTTTTAGATACAATACCTAAGGCATGAAACATAAAAAAAGTAATTGCAAGCTGGACTTCATTAAAATTAAAATTTTCTGCTCTCTAAAAGACAGTGTCAAAAGAATGAGAATTAAAGCCACAGATGAGGGAAAATATTTGTAAAAAATATGTGATAAAGGATTATTATCCAAAACTACCAAGAACTCTTAAAATTGAAGAATAAGAAAACAAATAACCCAATTAAAAAAATGAGCCAAAGACCTAAAGAGACACCTCACCAAAGAAAATGTACAGATGGCTAATAAGCATATGAAAAGATACTCCACATCATAGGTCATTAGGGAACTGCACATTAAAACAACAATGAGATACTATTACATAACTGTTAGAATGGCCAAAATCCAAAACACTGACAACACCAAATGATGGAGAAGATCTGGAGCAACAGGAACTTTTGTTCATTGCTGACAGCAATGCAAAATGGCCCAGCCACTTTGGAATAAAGTTTGGCAGTTTCTTTCAAAAGTAAACATACTCTACCATATTATCTAGCAAACATACTACTTGGTATTTACCCAAATGAGGTGAAAACATACACTCACATGAATCTTGCACATGGATATTTAAAGCAGCTTTATTCATAACTGCCATATCTTTGAAGAAACCAAGATTCCTTCAGAATGTGAATGGATAAACAAAACTGTGGTACAACCAGACAACAGAATATTACTCAGCACTAAAAAGAAATGAGCTGTCAGACCATGAAAAGTTATTAGAGGAAACTTAAATGCATATTACTAAGTGGAAGATAGACAATTTGAGAAGGCTACATATTGTATGCCAACTATATGACATTCTGGAAATGGCAAAACAATGGAGACAATAAAAAGATCAGTAGTTGCCATGGGCTGGGAGGAGAGAAAGATGAATAGGTAGAGCATGAAGCATTTTTAGGGCAAACTATTCTGTATGATATTATATCATGTGGATACAAGTCATTATCCATTTGTCAAAATCTAGAAGAATGTATAACACCAAGAGTCCATCCCAAAGTAAAATATGGATTACAATGTGTTAATGGAAGTTTACCAGTTGTAACAACTGTACCACTGTGATGCAGGATGTTTATAGTGGATGAGGCAGTCCACGTATACCACAAGGGGGTAAATAAAACTCTCTGTACTTTCTGCTTAATTTTGCTGTAATCTTACAACTGTTCAAAAAAAAAAAGTCTATTAAAAAAACATAGCTCTTAACTACCTTTCATATGTCTATCCAGATAAAAAACCATTGTTTCCACTATGGATCAGAAGGCAAAACCACTGCCTGATTATTTCTAAAACTTAGCTTTCAAAATCATCTTAACTGGTAATTTAAGGTTCATAGTAAGGATCAAAGAACTTACTTTTCAACTTTCCTCTGATGTTCTTTTTGTCTTTGTTGTTCTTTTACTTGTTCTCTCTCAATATCCATGAAAAGTCGTCTATATCTCAGGTATTGCTTTTGACGCTAAAGGAAAGAAGTTAAAATTGTTGAGAGACTATGGACTCCGGGAAACAAACTGAGGGTTTCAGAGGGGAGGGGGGTGGGGAGATGGGCTAGTCTGGTGATGGGTACTAAGGAGGGCATGTACTGCATGGAGCACTGGGTGTTATATGCAAACAACGAATCATGGAACACTACATCAAAAACTAATGATGTACCGTATGGTGACTAACATAACATAATAAAAAAAAACTGTTAAGATTCTGCTCTCAGAGGACTTTCCAAGGAAGGAGAATATCCTTGTGCCATAGATATGCTAGATGATACAAAAGTCACATCGAATTAAGTCCTTAATTTCCTCCTATTTTATGGTGACCTAGGATAATATCACATACAGCAAGAGCTTTATATTCTCAAGCACATAGCTATTAGATATTACAGACAAATCAGAGAAAGAAGTACTAATTTAGTTTGCCCTTAGTATAGTCCTTTGTCAACAGCACTTGAGGAAATGACTGTATTTGATATGATAAGATATATTACTATATTTACTCTGTATTTCCAAATAATAAGTACTATAGAAGCAGGGCCAAAGAAAGAATGTGAGAGGTATTTTATAAAAGAACAACAGTCACTTTAAATTTTCAAAATTAAAACCACATCACAAAAGTATACTCTAAGCCTAGCCTCATATGGTAATAAAGAGGGAAGAAGGACTGAGGAATATCTGAGCACCATACTTTCAAAGGGAACAAGTATAGGGGCGCCTGAGTGGCTTAGGCGGTTAAGCGTTCGACTCTTGATTTCAGCTCAAGTCATGATCTCAGGGTTGTAAGATCAAGGCCCACATCAGGCTTGTGCTGGGCGTGAGCCTGCTTGGGATTCTCTCTCTCCCTCTGCCCCCCCCCACCCAGAAAAAGGGGAGCAAGTATAATAAAAGCAAGTGCTATTGCCCTGTGGGTTTATATATTCTCTGGGTTTATATATTCTCTTTTAAGGACACAAGCTACTTAAAGGGCACTGGTGTACACATAGACATGTTTTTACCCTTTTTTTTTTTTTTTAAAGATTTTATTTATTTATTTGAGAGAGAGAGAGAGAGAGCATGAGAAGGGGGAGGGTCAGAGGGAGAAGCAGACTCCCCGCCGAGCAGGGAGCCCGATGCAGGACTCGATCCCGGGACTCCAGGATCATGACCTGAGCCGAAGGCAGTCGCCCAACCAACTGAGCCACCCAGGCGCCCTGTTTTTACCCTTTGAGTAGCTTATGTCCTTTTGGTAAAAATTATTAAAAGTCTAATAGCTGGTTCTTAACACTGAGGCCATCACAAGCATCAGTGGTATTTTTTTAAAAACACAGATGCCCCAAACCTACCTTTTCATATACTGATCAGTATATCTGTTTGGGTTCAGGCATTTGTATTTTGAAAAAAGCTCCACATCTGATTCTGGCACATGGGCAGTGTTAAAAACTGTCGGTTTAAACCAACTTTAGATTAAGAAGGAAAAAAAAAAAAAGGGAAGTCATAAGTTAAAACCCTTCCTTTAAGTTATTGTGACAAATACACACTAATGGGAAAAATTCACTAGGATCAGATCTCTGATTTCACATCAAGGAATCCTAAATCCTAGAAGCTTGGAAGAAAAGTTCAACACATTATAATGACTCAAGTAACTTCTTTGCCTTTATCCATGGAATTTGTAGTACAGGCTCTTAATGTGTAAGAACACAGTAAATCATTCCCAATTTCACATGTACTATTATAGTAGAAATACTGGTGTCCAAAAGCAATTATCATTACGTACCTCTTTCTTATCTTCTTCATGATCTACTCCAGATTGGAGTGTCAGTGGAATTTGGAATTCAGTGTTCAATTTTGATTGATAGTCATCATAAACCTGTTAGAAGTCCAGTCACACAAAGTGACAAAATTGCCAAAAGCTAGCCCTGTATGTGCTTTTGATATTTTCATCTATTGTTTCTTTTCTCCTGCAAACTTAACCTCATCTGGATAAAATCAAACAATTAAAAAATCAATAAAATAAAATAAACTAAAAACGAACGAAAGAAGCAGATTCAGAAGAAATAAACCAAAGGAAATGACTCAGGTCAAAAACATGGGTGAATTCATAACAAATCAAAATGTTCAGAATGAAAGTTCTTCTAAAGTGGTCACTTGAAATCACTCTGAGTTTGCTTAGGACTGAATCCAGGATATAAAGCCAGATCCCTTATTATCTCAAATCTGTAATCATTTTCAATGTACACAACTCTTTAGGTGGGTGTGAGCCCAAATAAGAACCTGAAAATATTATAACATCAACTGACATGGAAGGGAGGAAACTGGAGCTAATTTTCCCCCATATTACTAGAAAAGCCTTATGACATAACTTGGTATATACCTACTTTGTTATGGGTCAAATTATGATCTCTAACTTTTAGAATGAAAGCTTAGTATTACTTTTTTTAGCTTAAAAGTTATGTATCTTTTAGCAAAGTTGCAGGATATAAGATCAGTATACAAAAATCAATTGTATTTCTTTATACTTGCAATGAACAATCTGAAAATGAAATTAATGGAAAAATCCATTAAAAATACCATCAAAAAATTACTTAAAATAAAATTAACAAAGTTGGTGTAAATTTTGTACTCTAAAACCTACAAAACATTGTTGGAAGAAATTAAAGAAGGCCTAAATGAATGAAAAGACATGAAAGGACAGATAAGATGGCAGTACTCCCCAAAATGATCAACAGATTTAATGCAATCTCCATCAAAATTTCAGATGACTTCTCATAGAAGTTGACAGGGTGATCCTTAAATTCAAATGCAAGGGACCCAGAATAGCTAAGATGGTTTTGAAACAGAAGAACATAGTTGGAGGAATCACTCTTCCCAATTCCAATACTTACTACAAAGCTACAGTAATCAAGATAGTGTGGTACTGGCATAAGAACAGACTTAAAAAAAAAAAAAAGAATAGATTTATAGATCAATGGAACAGAACTGACAGTTCAGAAATAAACCATTATATTTACAATCAACTGATTTTTGGCAAGAGTGTTCAATGGATAAGCATTTCAACAAATGATGTTGGGACAACTGGCTATTCACATGCAAAAGAATGAAGCTCAATTCCCACTTTATACCACATATGAAAATCAATTCAAAATGGATCACAGACCTAAATGCAAGAGATATAAAATTCTTCGAGGAACACATAAGAGTAAATCTTCATGATCCTGCATTAGGTGGTTTCTTAGATATGACATCAAAAGCACAATCCACAAAAGAAAAAGTAACTCAGACTTCTTCAAAACTAAAAACTGTTGTGCTACAAAGGATACCATCAAGAAAAGAAAAGGAGAGCCTACAAAATGGGAGAAAACATTTGTAAATCATGTAACTAATAAGGGACTTGTATGGAGAATATATTAAGAATTCACAAACTCAATAATCAAAAGACAAATAACTCAATTACAAATTGGGCAGATAATCTAATAAGCAGTTTTCCAAAGAATACAAGTAGCCAATGAGACATGAAAAGATGCTCACTAATGGGGCACCTGGGTGGCTCAGTCAGTTAAGTGTCCATCGTCAGCTCAGGTCATGATCCCAGGATCCTGGGATTGGGCCACGCGTCAGGCTCCCCGCTCAGCAGAGAGCCTGCTTCTCCCTCTCCCTCTGCCTGCTGCTCTGCCTACTTGTGCTCTCCCTCTAGCTCTCTGTCAAATAAATAAATAAAAAAAATCTTAAAAAAAAAAAAAAAGATGCTCACTATTAACCATCAGGAAAATATATATCAAAACCATGATGAGATACCACTTCACACCCATTAATATAGCTATAATTAAAAAGACATTAAGTGCTGGTGAGGATGTGAAGAAATTAGAACCCTTATACACTGTTGGAAGGAATGAAAAACAGTGCAGCCGCTTTGGAAAACAGTTTGGCAGTTCTTCAAAAGGTTAAGCATAGAGTCCCCATATTCCCAGCAATTCCACTCCTTGGTATACTCAAGAGAAATGAAAACACATATCCACAGAAAAACTTGTATGCAAATACTTACAGCAACATTATTCATAATAGCCAAAAAGTAGGAACAATCCAAATGTCCATCAATTGATGAATGAATAAATAAAATGTGCTATATGCATAAAATGGAATGTTATCTAATGAGAGGAATAAAGTACTGCTATATGCTACAAGGTCAATGAACTTTGAAAACATTATGCTAAATGAAAAAAGCCAGTCACAAAAGGTCATGATCCAATTTATATGAAATGTCCAGAATAGGCAAATCTATAGACAGAGAGACTGGTTAATGGTTGCCTAGGGTTGGGGGGTGGAAGAAAAAGGAATTGGCTGCTAATGGGTAAGGACTTTTGGGGTATGATGAAATGTTCTAAAATTCATTGTGGCAAACTTTACACAACCCTTTGAATATACTAAAAACACTGCACTGTACACTTTAAATAGGTTAATTATATGGTATATAAATTACAGTCAATCCTCAATATTCCATACTCCTTATTTATGAATTTGCCTACTCACTAAAATTTATTTGTAATCCCAAAATTAACACTTGTGATGCTTTTATGGTCATTTGCAGACATGTGACAAATTTGAGTCACCAGATATGTATGTTGCCAGCTAAGGTTGAACAAGGTGATGCTCTGCTCTTTTTGTTTCAGCCTTCAAACTGTAAACAAGTATTCTTTTCAAGGTCTATTTAGTGCCAAGGTTTTTGCATTTTTGTGCTTTTTCTTGATGATTTCACTATTTAAAATAGCTCCCGGAGCACCTGGGTGGCTCAGTCAGTTGAGTGTCTAACTCTTGATTTCAGCCCAGGTCATGATCTCAGGGTCCTGGGATTGAGCCCCAGATCGCGTCAGGCTCTGAGCTCAGGGGGAGTCTGCTTGAGGATTTCTCTCCCTCTCCCTCTGCCCTTCTCCTGGTTCATTCTCTTGCTCTCTCTCTCTAAAATACATAATTTTTTTAAAGAGATAAAAATAAACAACAGAATAAAATAAAATAAAATAAAATAAAATAAAATAAAATAAAATAAAATAAAATAAAATAAAATAAAATAAAATGGTTCCCAAGCACAGTGTTGAAGTACTATCTAGTATTCCTGAGCACAAGAAGGCTGTGATGAGGGGCGCCTGGGTGGCTCAGATGATTAAGCGTCTGCCTTCGGCTCAGGTCATGATCCCAGGGTCCTGGGATCGAGTCCCACATCTGGCTCCTTGCTCAGCAGGAAGCCGGCTTCTCCCTCTCCCACTCCCCCTGCTTGTGTCCCCTCTCTCGCTGTCTCTCTCTCTGACAAATAAATAAATAAAATCTTTAACAAAAAAAAAAGAAGGCTGTGATGTGCCTTATGGGGAAAATACACGTATGAGATGAGCTCATTCAGGAATAAGCTATAGTGTTACTGGCTCTGAGTCCATGTTAATAAATCAACATTATATATTAAATAAGGTATCGTTAAACAGAAATTCACATAAAATAAAGTTAGGTATTGATGAGTGACCCAAACATTGTGATCAGAGGCTCACAAAAAACTAACTCTGTATTTCCCCTAGGAACAGTGGTTTAGTATTCACCAATTCAATGTTTGTGGCAACTTTATATAACTACCGTGAATAACAAGAATTGACTGTATACCTCATTATTTTTAAAATTATTTATTTGTTATAGATAAAATCCAAAAATGATACATAGCAGAGACTGATGGTAGTTACTTCTGGAATTTTGGGTTATTTATTCTTTTTGTTTGTGTTTACTTTTGCTACAATAAAAATGAAACATTTTCTGCTTTCAAAAAAGAAAAACCAGGTTTTCAGCACTGGGCAAGGGGTAAGCTCACTATGGACCCGTCTGTCTCACTGATTCTAACTAAAGCTTCCAGGAAATGTGGCCTGTGGTATCTGGAGAGTGTAGGGATTGGGTATCCTGAGGAGGAATGAGCTAGAAAAGTAGATTCCTCAAATCTGTGTACGAATTGGCGTATATCCCCAAATCGTCCCTGAGTTATGCACGCATGGGATGGACCTAAAGGAGTATAATGAAGGCTTTGAAAATTGAACTAACATTGGAGCCACTCTTCACAGAAGGTGAGAAAGAACTTATAATATAAACATAACCAGGTTGATTGCCTGCTAGAACAAATAAACAAAAGATGCAACATTCTTCAGAGGATTTCAAAAGAAGCCAGAGTCTCACAATATAATATTCAAAATTGGACCCAGAAGAAAGGATGGCAAGAGAATCCAGAATATGGTCCAAAGACAGATAACTCTTCTTCTGACATAGTAGGAACAGGTAAGAATGCCAAAAAAACAAATGGCTGAGGGAGGAAGTGCATGATGGCTTCTATTTTCTTCATCAAAGTCTGAGAGTATGGGGATGTAGCAAGAGCTTTACAAAGTATTTAAGATTTACTATTATTAGTGTGGGCCATAGGAGAGGGGGCTGACAAAGGGCAAGCAAGAAAAATGCTAAGCAGCATGGGGGACACAGCAGCTGTGACCATAAGCCCAAAGTATGACTGTGATCTAAATCTACACTGTTAAAGTGTTTTTTCCAATAAGGCGGGATTATTTCAGGAGCCTAAAAGGAGAAAGGACTGATCCAGGAGATTGAGGCTTGTATGGCAGAAGGACAAGAAGAAGAGCTTCTGACCACCAAGGCAGCACCCTCAAGCAAACAGAGTTAGGTATGCCTCTTCCGTGCTCAATTAATGCCCTATGCACCCTCCACCATTAATTATGTTGCTTATGTGTCAGTCTCTCTTCTTTAGATTGTCTGAAATTTGTGTTCTGTGTCTGATTCACAATTGTATCTTTGATATTTAGCATCTAAACAATGGCTAACACCTAACAAGGTGTTCAATAAATGTTTAATTGATTAATTCAAAACATATTTAGCAAGAGACTGTCCAGTACCAGGCTCTGTACTACGAAGGCTGTCCATACACTGGTAAACACATCAGGTGTGGTACCTCTCCTCATAAAGCTTACAGACCAGTGGAAAACATGCTAAATCAATAAATTATTACAGGGGCGCCTGGGTGGCTCAGTCGTTAAGCGTCTGCCTTCGGCTCAGGTCATGGTCCCGGGGTCCTGGGATCGAGCCCCGCATCGGGCTCCCTGCTCTGCGGGGAGCCTGCTTCTCCCTCTCCCACTCCCCCTGCTTGTGTTCCCTCATTCGCTGTGTCTCTCTCTGTCAAATAAATAAATAAAATCTTTAAAAAAAATAAATAAATAAAATAAATTATTACAAATTGTTTTGTGTAGTGAGAAGGAAAGAGAACGCAAGGATAGAGAAAAACAGAAGCGAGGAGACCTATTTTTAATAAGGTGGTCGGGACAGTCTTTTCCAAGGAGAGAACATTGAAGCTGAAACCTGAAGGACGAGAAGGGACCAGCTTTGTGAAGAAAAAAGAGAAGGATAGCCAGGCAAAGGAAAAAACATATGCAACAGACCTGAGGTAGGAAAGAGCCTGGCATACTTCGGGACATATAAGTAACGATGTAGAATAAAACACGACAGTGTACCTTTAGGCCAACCTAATAGAGACAAACTAAAAATTATAAAAGAGCTACAGTGTAGTCCTGAAAACCTCAGCCCAAATCCTACTTTCTGTCTTTATGCTCCTTTTCTCCTGCTGCTCTCTTAAAAGGGCCAAGAGGAAATGTCTCTTTATCTCTTTTATATATCCTAACAACACTGGTTGCCTGAAGGCTCTGTTGTTAAAATAACATAAAATCACAAGATAGAAATTATCTAGACAGTGATCAATTCTAGTGGGAATAAGCTAGACTTTAGTTAAGCCATGGAGGAATCTTAGGAGGCCAGATTATTTTAATGTTTTCTTGAAAAACTATAGATCTTAACTCAGTACATCGAAGCTTAGGCAATATAACCCTAATAAGCTCCAGCCTACACCCTGAACAGCTTATTTCTTGGTGATCCTGTCTTATGCTCTACTAGCCTATCGATGGAGATCTAGGCCTGGCCATTGGGTGGAAGATCCTCCTGACCCCTCTCCCTCAGAAACCACACATTTCTTCCCCTCTCATGCCATAAAAGACAATGGCCATTAGAAATACACCTCTTATAAAGAACACACATATAAAATACAGTTTTTCCAATACCCTAGGTTTCGGGAGAGCACTAAAGTAATCTTAGGTCAGGACAAATTTTACACACTATGAACTAAAACAAGAATCTGTTTGTTGCTCAGCCTTACCACTCCCAGCTCTGTAGGTGCCTGCAATCCTACCTAAATTCCATTACTCATACTCTACCTGTCTTCTGCTGGAAGCCTCTGTCTGGTGCTTGGCTGGCAGATGCTGCTGGTCGTCCAGAAGCAAATCCTCTTGCCATCTTTCAGCTGTCCCAACAGACGGCTGCTGCCTGAAGTATAAGCTCTAAAAGAATACAAAAGCAGTCACCAAAATATGTGAGCGGTGACATAATGCTAGTAATGCTGCAGGGATAGCCCTGACATACTCTATACAGGTCTGTTAGATTAGTCGCATACATTATGGCATAAAAGTAGACATTACACTCCTTGCCACTATTATGGATCTTAACTGTATCCACAAAGCAGTCCTAAGTTTCTTCATCTATAAAACAAGAATAATCACAGAATCTATCTCCCCAGATTATTGTGAGAATGAGAAATGACACAATGGATACAAAGTTCTAGAACTATTTTAGTTATGGAAAGTGCTTAACAAATGTAAGCTGTTACTCATATTATTAATAGTATTAATAAGAGAGAACACTACCAGAAGCAACAGGAACACTGTTGTTAGAAGCATAGCTCTGGCAAGCCCAGATCAAACTCTAACTGATTTACTTTCTGTTTACTTTTGACTGCACTCTGCTCTACCTGCTCTCCGGCTGAACCTGGATCCTGGATATCATGTAAATCATATTTGTGGTGCTCTGGAAATAACTCCTTTCTCCATCTCTCATCTGTCATATTACGTAAGGCCTGCCCATAGTTCCTGTGCTAAAAGACAACGTAAACATTGAACATCAATTGTTGAAGCAGAAGCATCATGCCAGGGCAATGGTAAAAGCCTCAGTGAAGAGGCCTGAAGTAGTTTCAACAGGTCAGAATGGTATGATACATCACAGAACTAGAGGACAGGATAGCTTTGCCCACTATTTACTGATCTTAACACTAAATCCCCAAGTAGTTACTATATTTCCCTGTTAAACTTGAGCCAAAATCTAAGCAACTTATTCCTCACTATGCTCTGCTCTACTTATCCCCCAGAGAGCGGGATCTTTTTTTTTTTTTTTTTTAGATTTCATTTATTTATTTGACAGAGAGAGACACAGCGAGAGTAGGAACACAAGCAGGGGGAGTGGGAGAGGGAGAAGCAGGCTCCCTGCGGAGCAGAGAGCCTGATGAGGGGCTCAATCCCAGGACCCTGGGATCATGACCTGAGCCGAAGGCAGACGCTTAAGAACTGAGCCACCCAGGCGCCCTGAAAGGCGAGATCTTAAACACTGGGTGAAACATACCGATGGCACTCCAGAAGCAATTCTTCTTTCAATCTCCCATTTCTCACAAGATGAGGGTTGCTTGATATACTTGCTCTAAAGGAACAACAAAATACAAAACTATTTAAGCAGAAATGATTAGTGACAACTAATGACATCAGTGACAACTCCAAAATAATGATACTAGGGGAGGATAACATACCAGAGTTGGTGGGCATGTGTGCCTGCATGTGTTAATGCAAAATTCCCATATATAAATCAAAGTAGGAAGGAAAATAGTATAATGAATCCCAAGATACCCAACCCCCAACTTCAATAATTAGTAACATTTTTTTTCCATCTGTCTCTTTTCCCACTTTTTTCCTGGACTATTTTAAAGCAAATCCCAGATTATTCTGGTACTTTTTTTTTTTTTTTTTTTTTTTTGCATGGGTAACTCTTTATTCAATAATATGTTTGGAAGAAGTAAGGCAACAAAGTAATATTTTTACAATGTTGCTAGCATTTTCCCAAGGTACAGCTAGGAAACAAGCTTGTGTCATTTCCACAAGCACTCCTACTAGATGTCCCCAGTAACTCCATTCACAAAAACTAGCAGTGGTAAAGTTCAGGTAGTTCTGAGGTGGCAAACAGTTTGTTTTATCCTTCCTCATAACTGGTTTGCAAACTGGTAGAGCAGAATGTCTGGTTTTGGTGTACTCAGTTGGCTAAGAGGAGAAGCCCTTCAGTATTTATAAAACTAAATGCAGAAAGTCAAATATACTCCAGGATGTGAGCTTATGCAAATGTCTACTGTTAATCAATCAATATTATATGAACCCTGTCTCTTGGTCAACCCAAACGACAGATATGCTTTCTCACCTGGACAGACTTTAGGTCTGGCACATTTTGAAATAGCTGAAAATGTTATGCTCTTAGCCTCACTCTAGAAGATTTAATTCTATGTAGCCTCCATGTGAACTAACTTGATAAGCTCCAACCCAAATCTTAAGTAATTTCATCTGTTACTCTTTTAGGAAGGAGAGTCCTCCCCCTGTATTCTGCTCTACCTGTTCTCTAGGGGAAGCTCGGTCCTGGGTTTTAGGTTCAACATACTGATTATACTCCAGAGGCAATTCATTGCTCATTCTCTCTGCTCTCATAAAAGATGGCAGTTGCTTGAGAAACATGTTCTAAAGGAATAAAAATAAAAAGCAAACTGTCTGACCAGGGCAACATGCTAATCATAATATTGTAGGTTTCAGTGAGAACTCCAGGGAAATGGTACCAGGTGAGGATAATCTGATACATTTTAACTTGAACAAGGATATAATACTTTTATTTTATGCTATTTATTTTTTAAGGATGTAACACTTTTAGCTCAACTCTGTAAACCTGAATTTTTAATCCTAAACCATGTACAGAGTAGTCTGACAAACTCCCCGTATGTTAAGTAATTTAGGATCTGCCACAACTTCCCACACTGTTCATGTAGGAACAGTGTGTTGGTGGTAATACTGGGGGCTTCAGCACAAGTTGTAGCTAATCTTAGTAAACTAAAATAGTTTGATTCTACAATAAGAATATGAATGTGATCTATCAACCTTCTAAATGACAGAACTGATTTGGTTGATATAGTTCATCAGACCAGGGTCTTTTGCACCTGTTTCTATACTTCATGTTACCGATTATTGAGAATATATAAAATCCAGTTACTTTAGCTTCTGTTTATCTCCTTTTTATTTTGCTCTACCTGATCTCTGACGAAGGTCTGGTCCTGGAGTTTAGGAGGCAGATACTGATAACCTGCCAGAGAATAGTCTTCTCTCCCTTTCTCACTTGACATATCAGAATATGACTCCTTGAAGTGTACTTTCTAAAAGAAAACAAAAACACTAATTATAAATTGTCCAGTAGGAGTAATATGATAGTAATAATACTATAGGCTTTATTGAGAGCCTTACAGTAATTTTTTTAACTCGAGATAATGTGAAATATGGAATAAAACAGAAAGCCATACTTTCTGTCATTTCCGAAGTCTAGCTGAGGACAACCTTTGCAAGTTCCAAACTAAACCCTTAACAATTCAGTTCCTGCTGGACTCTCTCCTTTTTCTGTTCTACCTTGTCCCTGGTGGAGGTCTGATCTTGATGCCTGGGTAGAATATCCTGATGGACATCCAGAGGAAACGCCTCTCTCCCTCTTGGGCCTATCAAAATTGATGCTGGCTGCCTCAAATTTGCTTCCTAAAGAAAGAACAAACACAAAATACCAATTGTTCAGTTAAGAAAGATCAGTTAACCAATACTTTAGGCTGTGGTGAGAATTCTGGCATTAACTGAGGTCAGAGTATAACTGAACATATGAAATAGAAGAAAACACTATATTCTATTCCACATAAGCCCACTTACAACCCTATGTGATTTACTTCCTGTTGATCCCTTTCTTCTTATTTTTGGCCTAACTGATCTCTGGTGGAGGGCTGGCCTTGGAACCTGAGTAGTAAAAGATACTGTTGCACACTTGTGGGCCACTCCTTGTTCCATCTTTCAGCTGTCAAAGCAGATAATGGCTGCCAGAAATATTTTTCCTAATAAAGATTAAAAAAAAAAAGTAAATTGTCCAGTAAGGGCTAATGTGCTGCTAATACTTTAACATTTAATGAGAACCCCAGACTTTTGAGGAATTAATGAGGAAACTATTTTTTCCAACTATGACTCTCCAAATCAGCTGCAATTTAGTCCTTGCAAATCCCACTCCAAAATTTAAGTAGCTATTTCTTCTTGTTATATCTCCTTTCCACTCTATTTACCTGATCTCTGGGTAGAAAATGCTGATGCTGGTCTCTGGGTAGAAAATCCTGGTCCTGAAATTTGGATTGAATATTCTGGTCTTCAGGGAGAACATGCTGGTCTCTGGGTGGAAAATGCTGGTCCTGACATTCGGGTAGAATATCCTGGTCTCTGGGTAGAAAATCCTGGTCTTTAAGTAGAAAGTCCTGGTCCTGACATCTGGGTAGAATATTCTGGTCTTTGGGAAGAACACACTGTTCTTTCGGTAGCAAATCCTGGACTTTAGACACAATACTCCCATCATCTAGTTCAATATTCTGGGCTTCTGGCATAATACCCTGAGTTTTTATCTTAACAGCCTGGGCTTTAGGCTCAATGGCCTGCGCTTCGGGCTCAACAGCTTGGCTTTCCAGCTCAATAGCCAGAGTATTGAGTCTTGGCTCAACACTCTTGGCTTCTGGCTCAATACTCTCAGCTTCTAGCTCAACACTCTGGACTCCTGTCAAATCACCCTGGGTTTCCAGCAGATCACATTGGGCTTCTGGAAGATAATCCTGGGCTTCTGGAAAAATATTCTGAAGGCCTTGAAGATCTAATTGCTTTTGCTCTTCCTCTTTCATCACAGCAAATAGTGGATTTTTGGATTGTACTTTCTAAAAGTGAACATAAACATCAAATATAGAATGCCAGGTAGTAGCAACACTCTAGATTTTCCACAAGATTCCTAAAATAATTTCAAAAAGATATGGTAGTCAGGGGCGCCTGGGTGGCTCAGTGGGTTAAGCGTCTGCCTTCAGCTCAGGTCGTGATCCCAGGGTCCTGGGATCGAGCCCTGTGTCAGGCTCCCTGCTAAGTGGTGAGCTTATGTCTCCCTCTCCCTCTGCCTGCTGCTCCCCCTGCTTGTGCTCACTCACACACTCTCTCTCGCTCTCTTTCAAATAAATAAAATCTTAAAAAAAAAATAAAAAATAGCGTAGTCAAATTACTAGAATAAAATGGGAAATTATAATCTTTGCTCGACTTAACAGAACCTAAATCTATAATCCCAAACTAGTACAACAATATGGTATCACTAGTCCAAATCACACTTAGTTTAATTTTTATTATACTATCTCCTTTCACTCTGCTTTACCTGAACTCTGCTGAAAGGTTTGTCCCTGTCTTCAGAAAGGAGATCCTGCTGGTCTCCCCAAAACAAATTTTCTGTCCCTTTCTTATCTATCATAATAGATGAAGATTCCTCAGAGTCAGGTTCCTACAAAACAACACAATCAACAATGAAAAAAAGTATCGATTACAGGTATAAACAATGTGATTACAATAAAATCCTGGGATTCAGCACACTATTAATATAATTTGGTAGGTCAATATAATCAAATATTATAAAAACAGGACATTACAAAAGAAGCATAAGACTATATAATGAAAATTATAAAACACTGTTGAAAGAAATTTAAAAAGATCTAAATAAATGGAAAGAGATCCCATGTTCACAGATCTCAGAAGATAGTATTAAGACATTGATAAACCCTCAGTCAACTGGTTTTCAACAAGAGTGCCAAGAAAATTCAATGGAAAAAGGATAGTTTTTCAACAAATGGTACTGGGACAAGTGGATATCCACATGCAAAAGAACTAAGTTAAAACACTTCCTCACCCCATATAAAAATTCACTCAAAATAGATTATAGACCTATATGTAAGAACTAAAATTATAAAATTTTTAGGACACATAGCAGAAAATATTGATGACTTTAGATTAAGCAATGGTTTATTAGATACTACATCAAAAGCATAAGCAACACAAGAAAAAAGAGATAAACTACACCAAAATTAAAAATTTTGTACAGGGCGCCTGGGTGGCTCAGTTGGTTAAGCGACTGCCTTCAGCTCAGGTCGTGATCCCAGGGTCCTGGGATCGAGTCCCACATCGGGCTCCCTGCTCGGCGGGAGGCCTGCTTCTCCCTCTCCCACTCCCCCTGCTTGTGTTCCCTCTCTTGCTGTGTCTCTCTCTGTCAAATAAATAAATAAAATCTTAAAAAAAAAAAAAAATTTTGTACAAATGATAGCATTAAGAAAGTGTAATGACAACCTACAGAATGGGAAAAATATCTGCAAATCATGTATCTGATAAGGGACATGTATCCAGAATATATAAAGAACACTTATAACTCAGTAATAAAAAAACCAAATACCCCAATTAAAAAATGGACACCACATTTGAATAGACATTTTCTCCATAAGAGACATATAAATGGGCAATAGGCATGTGAAAAGATACTCAAGATCATAAGTCATCAGGAAAACACAAATCAAAAGTATAGTGAGGTATCATTTCACATCAGTAGGATGGTTATAATCAAAAAGATGGACAATAGTAAGTATTGGTGAGGATGTGGGGAAATTGGAACCTACATATATTGCTGATGGAAAACAACTTGGCAGCTCCTCAAACTATTAAACACAGAGTTAGCCTATGACCCCAAAATTCCATTACTAAAGAAATGAATGTCCACAAAACAACATGTACATAAGTGTTTGTAGCAGTTATTCACAAAAGCCACGAAGTCCATCAACTGATGAATGGATATACCAAATGTGATAAAGCCATAAAAGGAATATTATTCAGCAATAAAAAAGGAATGAAGTACTGATACATTCTGCAACATAATGAAAATATGCAAAGTGAAAGAAGCCAGTCACAAAAGACCACATATTATATGATTCTATTTAGATGAAATGTCCAGAATAAGCAAATCTATAGAGACAGCAAGTAGTTTAGTGGTTGCTTAGGACTAGGGGTAGGGAAAGGAGTGAATGGGAAATGTTTCCCATGGGAAACATGGGAAATAGGGTTTCTGTGGGGATGGGAATAGGGTTTCTTTTAGGGGTGAAGAAAGTGTTCTAAATTAGATTACGTTGACAGTTGTACAAACCTGTGAATATACTAAAAACCACTGAAATGTATACTTTAAATGGGTAAACTGTGTGGTATATAAATTATATCTCAATAGAACTGTTAGGAACAAAACAATACTGGACATTAGAATCTTAACCCTCAAACCCAAACATAATTAGCATAATTAGCTGTGGACGGCTCTAACAAGCCATTATTTTTTCCCTTTATTCTTTACATTTCCCTCCCTGATTTTCTATAAATTTCTGGCAATGTGAAGTAGTTAAAAGACCAAAGACCTTGACAGACCTTAAAGGTCAACTGTCCTCTTGTTCCTGTATTTATCTTGAGGGATGATGACTTCCTATAAAGTGCTTTCTGAAAAAAAAAATTAATACAAATATAGATGGTCTAGAGAAAGCAATATGCTCATGATACTAAGTTGAGTTTTTATGAAAGATCTGGAATGATTTTAACAGATGAGGGTGGTTTAATATAAATAAAGAAAAACAAGTGGTGAGTTCTACTTCAGATTTACAAACAAATCACTCACACATCAAACATGGAGTGAAATAGGCTGCTAGGAGAATATATTAACTTTATAAATGACGATTTGTCCCTATCCCAGCCAGGATCAATTTTAGGAGGCTTATGATTTTATCTTGGTGACGTGACAATGTGCAAGCAAGTATATCTTCTATTTGTATCTCTATATCTGGAATAACAATAAGAACCAGACAGATTTTAAGGTCAGTAAAAAGTCTAACAAGGAAATGAAACCAGAGTTCAACTGGGTTATGGATTGTGTCCTTTCTGACTGGCAGATTTCCACTTCATACAACTGAGAGGGTAGAAAACTGTTCAGAAGTGAGGGAAAGACCACATACTTGATATAAGAAATATAAAAAATTACACTAATTTCTTTTATCAATCTCATTTCTATGGAATAGATGTTTCCAATGTTTTAGCTGAAAAATACACATGCATTCTTTGGAAGTAGCAGTCAGTCTGAATTCATCATCATCATCATCATAATGAATTACATTTAAATGGCATCTCTGACATATAAAACTGGTTTATACAGGATGTTATCTCAGACTTAATTCTTCTCCCTTCTACTGAATGATGCTTTCAGTCAGACCTGTAAACAAGTACTTTTTCTGGAAAAACATCAACTGAAAGGTTTGAACATGTTTCACACAATATAAAATATGAGTCTCTAGGATCTGATGACTCTTTTTTTTTTTCTGGTTTACTAGAATGTGTCCAACCACTTCCTTCTAACAGTACCCTGGAGTCAGTCTAATGTCACAAACTGGAGTTGCCAAATCCATTAGGTATGAAAATTGTCTAAAAAAACAAGCCACTGAGAAGAATTTAGGTACAAAAGAAACTCTATCTTGAGAGTCATAACAAGACAATGCTAGAAAAAGGTAACCATACTGAATGCATCTGGGATGAAATGCCGTATGTGACACACACACCCATGCCCGCTTGTTTCTTATATTTAACTATAAATGTCTTAATTACCACTGAAGAGAGAGACATTATAGGTTAGCATTCTACCAACTGTAAACATATAAGAGACAAACGTTTTTGATGGTTGTGTTGAGATACTTAAGGAAAAAAATACAAAAAATATATATATAATCTAGGAAGCAAAACTAGGAAAGAACTAAGTAAGGGACAGAGGTGGATGATGGCCAAAAAAAAAAGCAAAAAAGATGAAACAGTCCATTTTACTAGATGCTGCCTATCAAAACTTGAAATTAATGCCAAAATGAGTAAACACAGGAAAATACATGAGTTTGTTTTCAACACCCAAATTTGTGAACACTGAAATAAGTAGGCACAGAACAATGTCATTTTACAAGTATCACCTTAAATATCCTTTTAAGTCACATTTAGGTTCCAATTATTCACTCTAACCTTGTATTTTGAATTAAAAGAATTTCTTTCTTTTAACAGTATTGGTTTTTTTCCTGATTAGAAAGTAAAATATGTGCATTATGAAAAATTTTTTAAATAGAGAAAACAGAGAGAAAAAAATAAAAATCACCTGTAATAATGCTAACCAGAAATAATCAGTATTAACCTCTTGGTCCATTTCTTTCCAGGCTTTTGTCTCTGCACACAGCATTCCCTCCCAATCTCTTTATTTTGCTTTATTTTTTTTATAGCACTTATTGTTTGAAATTATATTCTACATTTATTTGCTTGTTTATTATTTGCTTCCCTACTAGCACAGAAGCTCCTTGAGGGATCTTTGTCTATATTTTCTCTACTCTAAGTCCTGCTTCTAGAATAATGCCTGGTAACTATAAACATTCCATAAATGTTGGCTGAATAAAGTTTTTTAAATTGAGAATATATTGTATATAATCTTGTATCCTACTTTTTTCACTTAACTTTGCATCACACTTTCCCTTGTCTTCATATATTCTCTGAAAGCATGATAATTTTTAGAATAGCTATATGTGGATACACAGTAATTTTTTAACCATTCCCTACTATTGGATATTTCAGGTTATTTCCAATTATTTTTACAGTTCTAAATAATGTTGAGATGTAAATAAATCTTTATCTGTACTTTTTAAAACAATTTATTAGAAATAAATTTACCTCTTGAGGGGGAAAGGTTTTCCTTCTACCATCTGGAAACACTGACGCATTTTTTTTATTCACGGTCTTAAAAGATGCCAGCCGGTGACGGGCCTGTTTCATGGTTTGACTAAGCTGCCAGGAAAAGGGAAAAAAGAGCAAACAAAAACAGGCTAAAGTTTTAATACCCAATTCACTAAGTGTTCCAACAGGAAAACAGGCCCCTATTATTAAAAAATGCCAGACCTAAGACAAGAGGATTACCTGCAAAGGACACTTTGGTCTGCTGATAGTATTTTTACATGATTTTCATTATTCTAAGATACTATATTTCATAACTTGATTTAAGTGCTGTTATTCAAATTTTTTAACAACATATGCTTTGTATTAAGAATGTACACAAAAATATCAGAACCTGAAAGTTGGAATTAATAAACTTAGAAATGATTGAGCAGATACATTGCTTACCTTCCATTCATCTTCTCAATAAGGAGTTATTTCTTCAACTAGTCCTTGCACGCCTAATCACTGTTATCACTCCTTGCTAGAAGACTCTATTCCTAGTCCCTCTAAAATTCTTTTTTCCTATTTACAGGAATCCCTTCTTCACCCCTAACATTTGAAGACTGTAGCTATTGTTTTTTCTCAAATCTCCCTTCTTTCAGGAAGCCTTTCTAAGTTAAGTCAGAACACAAACTCAAACATCTCAACTCATTTGTTTCAAGTACTCTAAGTAACAGCTGATAATAAGTATTAATATTAAATACACTGGCTTTGTGTTCATTCCTTATATCTACCTACTAATTTCATTAAGCACCTATTTTGATTTCTTTTTCAGAGAAGCATAGAATATTTTATTTTTCACAAAACTGCACAGAATGTTCCCTTAAAGAAAATACAGAAATTAACAAAATACCATTTTTTAGGCTAAGCCCTACATCATGTGGAAGAAAAGTATATCCCTATGATACTCAGTAAAATTATGGCAAAACCAAGACCAGTTCTAACCCATCCAGCAAAAGTTTAATGATATCAATTCTCCCTTGAAGGCAAATCATGACCACGATTTACAGATATAAATAACAAACACCTTGATTTTTACTAATAGTGAGCTAGGGATAAAAGCACTCTCACTGCCAGCACAGTTTCCTTACAGTATATCACCTCTGTTTTGTCCTTGCTTTTAAAGGTCTACACCTCCAGCCACAGAAATCAGCTTGAAGCATTACTCTTTATTCTGCTAAGATGAGGACCTCTAAATTTGGTTAGCAGAGTGGCTAAAGGGGTCAAGATAGAGATAATCATATTGCAAAAAGAGATACATGTGCAGTTGAGGTTATGAAAAATACAAGAGCCACACATATGCCTGCTTTTGCTCATTACCAAGTATGGTAAATGTTATTGCCCTGCACAATGTGACCAAGGATTCAAAATACTCGTCGTAACAGATATGAAATAAGGATACATAATGTTCATCTCCCATCAACTCCAAACCTCTATTAGAGTCACAGATTGATTTTAGTCCCTTAAGCAGGGTATTTCAACTGGTCCAACAGCTGGAGTATACATTATAGTCTTTCCATTTCTCTGTTATTACCATAACCCTTCATCAAACCTCAACCTGAAGGCCCTTACAAGGACTAACTATGAGGACTGTAACAGGCTGAATAATGGACACCCAAAGACACCAGGTCCTAATCCCTGAAACCTGTAAATGTTACTCTATAAGGAAAAAGGGCCTTTGCAGATATTATTAAGTTAAGGATCTTGAGATGAGGAGATAATCTTGGACTATCCACATGGGCCCTAAATGCCATCCCCAGTCCTTATGAGAGAGAGGTAGAAGAAGATTTGGCTTACAGAAGAGAAGGTGTTGTAAAGACGGAAGCAGGGATTGGTACAATGTAGCCACAAGCAAAGGAATGCCAGCAGACACCAAAAACTGATAGAGGCAAGGAACAAATTTTCTCCTAGAATCTGTGGAAGGGGCCCTGCTGACACCTTGATTTTGGCTCAGTGAAACTGATTTTGGACTTCCAGCCTCCAGAACTTCGAGAGAAGAAATTTGTCCTTTCAAGCCACTAAGTTTGAGGTGATCGGTTACAGCAGCCAAAGGAAACTAATACAAGGGCCAAAGTGAATGTTAATAAGTATTAAACAATAATAAAGAAAATAGGGAGATGTTACAAATCAAATTATTATTAAGTGGGCATCCCAAGCTATAGGCTTGCCAGTAACCTAGATCTTCCTCAAAAAGGCAGGCTGGGCCAATGAAGATTCTTTATCTTACATAATGAACTAGGAAGTATGAAAAGTCAGAGTCAGAAACTGAACTGAAAAGGTCCAAAGCTGGAGAAAAGAGGCTAAAGGAGCCTACATATGCCAAAGTTTCAGAGCTGTGATGATGAGAATATGAGGTAGTAGAAAATTAAGCAAATAAGGGAGAAGCATATGTGTAGAGACAGGGCAACCAACTCTCCCACTTTGCCTGGAACTGTCCAGGTTTAGCACTGAAGGTCTCATGTCCTCAGGCAATGGGGAAAGGTGGGTCACCCTACGAGGACCACCGAATCAATCAAGTTAGTGATTAAATATTAGTGGGAAGATCAAAGATCCTATGCTGTGTGATCAACGGAGCTAACTCAGACCTAAAAAAATTGTCCGGCCACACACTCCTTAAGGGAGTTTAGATTTGTGTGAGTTTCTGATTCTGTCTTTATTATCCCGTGCATATTCTTAAAATAAAATGAATTCTTGCAGCCAAAGAGCCTAACTCAAACACTAGTTTTTCAATGATAGATTACAGAAAACTTAACAGGTTATTTCAAAAGTGAATTGTTATTTCCAGGGTTGAAAAAGCTAGAAAACCTGCAATATAAAGAGAGAATAAAAGTAAAAAAACAAGATAATAAAAGATTCAGTGAGAAACAAATAAAAAGCTGAGGTATACCATGCTAAAAAATAGTAGTGAGCTTAATAGTGTATAAATAAAAAGTTTTTACATGGTGAGAAACAATGATCAGTTGTTCTTCAATTCCCCACCAAAATGAAGCTATCAAGGAACACAACAGAAACTCAATCCTTAGAGATAAGTATCAGTCTTAACAAAAAGTTCAGGGCTAGGCTAATTCTATTTTATGGGAACACTTGAAATTTCTTCTGGGTTTTATGATTATACTTCCTAACTTTAGGTACCCAATCTTAATCTACCTTAGAACAAGTAGGTAATACCGAGTATTATAAAAGTGGAGGATGGGGTGGGGGTACAGAATAAGAGAGGTCCTAGCAAAATCACATTTGGGGTATAGTTCCGTGTTCAGTTTTGAGGGTCATATTTGAAAAGAGCACTGAAAAACTAAATAACATTCAGAAGAAATCAACCAAGATTATAATGACAGAAAGCATTAGGAATTTAAGAATCAAAAGAGAAAAATGATAGTTATAATCAAATACTTGAAGTGTCTTAGAGATGACCATGGTTTTTTATTTTCTATTGCTTAAGAGTACAAAACTAGGCCCAAAGGGTAAAAATTATAGGGAGAAGAATTTGACTCAATATATTGAAAAAATACTTATAATTTCAAAACTTCTAAAAATGAAATAGTCTAAAAAGTAGTAAGTTGCTCAGCAGTGGCAGTGTTCTAGCAGAAACTAGATGGCCATTTATATATGAGACATTATAAAAAGAATTCGTTAGAGAAAGAAAGGTTAGACTAGATAATGTCTTTTCTTTTCCAACATTTAATTAAAAATGTAAATAAATTCAAACACATTGGAAACTTCAAACATACAGAGAAGTAGACAGAAGCTATAATACACACCACATACACATCAACCAGTTTTAACATTATCAATTCCTGGCCAATCTTGTTTAATATATAATGCTCTACTTCACCTCACCCTTACATTATTTTGAAGTATACCCCAGATGTCAAATCATTTCATCCTTAAGTATTTCAATATGTGACATGAATATGTAAAACCCTCCAACTTCAGGATTCTATGTTTCTATCACTCCAAGACAAGAAAATTGAAAAGTCCACTAACACTCCGAAAGTGAACTGCATTCACGATTTACTCAGCCACTTCTAGATAAACCAAGGGAGTTAGTGCTTGAACAATGTCTCACTGTCTAGTTCTTAGTGACACCTAGTGGATAAAAACTGAAACAGAAACAGTAAAATTGAAAAGCATTTATTGCCATGGTGGTGTAGGGGCAAAAGTTCATAGGCTTAAAGTAGTTTAGATCACTGAACATTCTTCAGTAGTTTATCTTTTAAGGAAAAAAAAAAAAACAGGGTATAAAAACTTTTTGAAATTTTATAACATTTCATGCTTTTCATAACCTGATTTCCTCCTACCTATCTAACCTCATTTTCTGTTACTCTCCTCTGTAAACTATCAATTAGAATGGTTCCATCACTTATTCCCAAATATACCAAGCTCATCATATATTCAAGACTTTTCACTGTTCCTCCTATCTCAAAATTCTCTTGAATTTACCAATTCAATTCACTTTATCAATTCAAAATATACAGCTCAAGTCCACCTCTTCCAGGAATTCTCCCACAAATATTTCCTTGGATTTAAACATTTTTGACATCCCATAGCACAACTCTTCATCAGATACAGCAAATGTCTCTATATTATTATCTAATAGATTGGGGTCTGTTAGCTTTATATCTCTATTTGGAAATATAAACCCATGAAGGGTTTATAATATAATATAATATAATATAATATAATATAATATAATATAATATAATATAATTATAAATATAATATAAACCCATGTATCTCTACAGTGTTTAACAAACACAGTATATTCAAGTATCTGTGACCTGATGTGTTCTATTTGTGTATTACACAGACGAAGTAAAATCCTCACACAGTGAGGCAATAGCTACGACACCATGAAAGCAACAACTATGTCTTCATCAGTGCTCCATCCCTTATACTTTACGCAGTGCCTGGCTCAATAAGTATTTGCTCAACAAACTGTTCATAATCTTCAAAAGGAAAACAAAAATGATTTATAAAATGATTACTACAAATCAAGCAATGGCAAGAAAAAGTCATAGTTTGGGACAAAGAGAAAAAAATGATTTTAAGTATTTCAATATAACATGTGCTTA